CAAGGCTGCAGCCCGAAAAGGGAAATCAGAACGCGGTTCCCCGCCCCCGTCCTGGGATGGGGGCGGCAACCGGGGCAGCAGCAGTAGCTCTCTCTCTCTCTCTCTCTCTCTCTCTCTCTCTCTCTCTCTCTCTCTCTCTCTCTCTCTCTCTCTCTCTCTCTCTCTCTCTCTCTCTTTCGGTTTAGGGTTTAGGGTTTAGGGTTTAGGGTTTAGGGTTTAGGGTTTAGGGTTTAGGGTTTCGGGTTTGGGGTTTAGGGTTTAGGGTTTAGGGTTTAGGGTTATCTCTTTTGGTCTTTTTGTTTTTTTTTCTCTCTCTCTCTCTCTCTCTCTCTCTCTCTCTCTCTCTCTCCCCATTCCTAGAAAATTTCCTTTTGACAATTCTAATCGAGATCAGGCATCGGATCCTCTGCCAGCAGCCAGCCAATCGAGATCCCGGATGTTGCAGAGAGCTTGCCTGACAGCAGGCAAGAAGTGGATCTTGTTGCCAAGAGTGGCTACCCTGAGGTTGAGAAGGACATGAGTCCGGCTGCCGTCTTGCCAGGGGCAATCAAAGCAATCCAACGGCAAATGAAGAAGCTTGATGGCCTTCTCAAGTCCTTCCCAAAAGCACCAGAGCAGCCGCAGACGTCAACCCCGAGCCTTCAAAGCAAGTGCCCAGATCGCAGGCATGCAGACCTGACTTCAGTTTTGTGGGTTCATTAGGGCAAAAGTACAACTGGGTCTACGTGGCGGCGGTGGGTCTACGTAGTGGCGGCCACTTCAACTAACTAAGTGTCACTGTACTTAGGTTCAGAAAGAAGATCGACGGGATGCTGCTGGAACTTGACGCGGTGTTGGATGACATGAATGAGTTGCGGGGGCAAGGGGCCGTGAATGGCTACACGCGAAAGCTTCTGGGCTGAAATCGTTCACAGTGGCCGGTCATGTAGCAATTTGTTGCGTTGTGCAGTCAGAAGTCATGTAGGTTGCAGAAAAGCATTGCTGACAAGCTCAGCGACGGCCGCCAAAAGCACTTTGGTGGCAGAGTTTTTGTAGGCATGATAAAGTGGAGGCTCGAAGATTTTGGGGACGTTCCTGGGGATGTTCCTCGCCAAGGGTGGTGCAAGCTATGTGCCTCTTCGATAGCAGCAGGACCGCGACTTCTTACACAAACTGCCCATGCGATGACGCGCACTGCCCTTCTTGTTGTTATGGATCTCCCTTATACCCGATATAACCCTCGTCCTCTGTTTATGGTTGCGCTCCCCCCCCCCCCCCCTTCCTCCCCCCTTCCTCCCCCCTTCTTCCCTTCCCTTCCCTTCCCCCCCTTCCCGGTTCCCCCCCCCCCTCCCCCACTCCTTCCCCCTTCCCCTTGCCCACCTTCAGTTCCCCTCCCCCCTTTTCCCCCCCTTGTTACGGTTTAGGGTTTAGGGTTTTTACGCTAGATATGGTTTAGTTCGGGTTTACGGCTTTTTTGGTTCAGGGTTAAGGTTCAGAGGGTTTAGGGCTGGTTTAGGGGAGACTGTAGACCAGGCAAGGGGATACCTGGCGAGAATGCGCACTGCGCAGCCCTTGCAAACCCTCCTCCTCAAGATGTCTTCAGGACAATCGCCGCCGCGACCCCATCAAAGAAAGAAGCCCCGAAGCGCTGTCCGAAGTCCAAGTCTGCGCCGCCCCCAAAACGCCAGAAGAAGTAGTGTGCTATCACGGGCTTCCCGCGTGTTCATCAGTTTGTGTCTATAGGACTCAAGCTTCTCAATGAAGGCCGTGATTTTTGCACTTTAGGGAGTCTGCCTGCATGAATGTGCACAAGTGCAGATGTGTGGTAAGCTCGTTCATTGAGCTGGTGTTGGCATATACCAACATCTATCTGGGGCAAATCCATTGCAACCGCGATAAAAATGGCTCCGGGCATGCAAGGCTGCACACTTTGCAGACATTGCAGTTGAACAGAGCACTCTCATTGTTCTACTCTTACTCTTATTCATAATGGCCCTTCCAGGTACCAACCAGCACCGACATGAGGAGACCTTACTTGCCCACCTGGCAGAGACTATGGGGGATGGGTCCCTCATCTGCGTCGAACTGGTTTAGGGTATATTTAAGTTAAGGGCTTCGGGTTTTAGGGTTTAAAAGGTTTTAGGGTTAGGGTTTTAAAGGTTTACAAGGTTGAGGGTTTAGGGTTTAAGCTTTAGGGTTTCTGGGTTTATAGGGTTGATAAGGTACATGGGTGAAGCGTATGTCATTTCCCAAGGCTCCAGCTGTCAGTGTCGTCCGGACGCTGGCTGCCTCTGCGGGAAGAACAGCCAGTACTTCGGAAGAGCTGAATGCGCAACGTTTTACAGATCGGGTCTTTGCAAAGCATGACCTGTCCCTCCCGATAGCGGTGAACAGCCTAGAGCACGAAGTTGTGGACGGTGTTAAATCGAGCATTGATACCTACCACATGACTCCTCACGCCTGGCTGAGTCATCTCTTACAAGTGGAGCCGCCACTGCTTGCAGGGCCTGGAGTCACTGACCCGGGACCTAGCTTCGATGCCTTTTGGCAGACCTTTCGGTTGAGCAACCCTGAACACAAAGTCTATGAATTGCATAGCCATGAATTGCATAGGGTTGTACCGGTCCTTCTTCACGGGGACGAAGGGAGATCACAGAAAAAATCTTCTTACCTGATTCTCTCGTTCCAGTCACCAATTGGTGGGATGCCTCGACCAATCCAACCGTGCAATTGCGCAGATGTGCTGAGGAGTCGGCCTGATCTTCCGGATTTTGGACCAGGCAGCCCGGAGATGTTGCCACCTGAGGTGCAACGGTTGGCACGCGAAATGTACACCAACTATCGGGGACATAGCTTCCTATCCAGGTTTTTCTTGTTTGGTGTTGGAGCTTGGGTGTTCAAAAGGAATGCACACGTAGTTGACAAGCTATTGGAGGAGATGGTTGCCTCTTTCGACGGGCTCTTTACGCAAGGTCTGGTTTGCGCCGAAAAGAAGTACTTTGCAAGCATAGTGGGCATCAAAGGTGACATGGACTTCTTTGCAAAGTACTTCTCCTTGACTAGGAGTTACTCCCAAGTTGTATCCCGAGGCCTGGGGTACATTTGCCATCAGTGTATGGCAAGCGCCGGCGCTCAAAGCCAAATAGGTTTTGAAGACGTCAGAGAAGATCCGGTGTGGGCTGGTACGATGTATCAAGAACGCCCGTGGGAAGGCACACCAGCACTTTCGAATCTTCCCGGGTATGAGTTTCCGGAGCAGCTGATCAAGGGTGATCCATTTCACATTGTCAAGCTGGGGGTTGGACGAGATCTCGCAGGAGGGATTATCGTAACCCTGGCACGAAAAGGTTTCTGGGACCATGCTGGGTCCACACAGAACATAGTTCATCGGCTGCAGCGGGCTCATTCGATGTTTGTCCTCTTTTGCTCTGTGTCAAAACTCAGGCCAAGCTTGAAAGGCTTTAGTAAAGAGTTCTTTCACATCAAAAACTTCTTATCATCACCCTGGGCAAACAGCAAGGGATCGGACACGATGATATTACTGAAGTTCCTGGAGTGGTATTTGCGCCTCAACCAAGCTGAGCCTGCAGTGCCGGGGTATGCGTCACTGATTAGCGTGATGCTTCAAACAGTTACTGCAGCTTTGGGTATGTTTCACATTATGCACTCCCATCGGCTGTGGTTGGATCGTGCCTGTGGTGCACTTCTCTACGTGCAGTGCATGCGAGTTGTGAGAGGCTTCAAGGTGCTGTCCAAGAAATGTTTGGAAATGAACATTCGTAGCTTCGTGATGAAACCGAAGCTTCACGCATTGCACCATTGCGCACACAATTTGAAATATCAGCTCCAGACCGGATCGCCGCTCATATTAAGTTTGGAGGCCGTATCGTGTGAGGTTGACGAGGACTACATAGGACGTTGTAGCCGATTGAGCAGGAGAGTTTGCATCCGTGTCTGTGACAAACGCGTGATCCAACGGATCTTCCTGAAAACGAAGGCTATATTGAGAAAACGGCGCAAAAAGCCGTGACCCCTACAGCCTACAACCATTCACATAAAATCACAGATATCTGGCCCCCTTACACTGGTCCTCCATATAGCTGAAAGACTCTTCCTCGAAGGGGCTGAGTGCTCGGATACTGAGAGCGCGGCGTGTAGAAAAAGCATCAAGGCCAGGAGCAAGTGCAGCATCCAAGGCTGGGAATCTCTGGGTGTGGGTGGCTTACACATGGGCATGATAGAGCTTTTTAACAATGTTAAGCCGGGGCTTGGAAGACAGGGTTGCTGTATCTTTGCTTGTAAAAAAGGTCATGTACTGCTCAAAACAGCTTAAAAGCATAACATGGCTTCAGGAGGCTTCAGGCGTTTTTTCAGGCCTCAGGCGTTTTCTCCAGGTTCTGGCTGAAAATCCCGCCTAAAGGGCTTCAGGCTGATTATTCAGCCTGCGGAATGTCTAGGTAATGGCATCATGAGGCTCAAACTGCGTGTCTGTAGGGTCATGATCCAGCGACCAGCTCACCTCCCAAGGCACCCGCACGAGTGCCATGCGCATGGCTGCCTGGCTCCAGCCGCTAAAGCCGCCGCAAAACACTTCAGCCCTACGAACCACCTCATGCTTTTCAATGTCCAGTTGCCCCATGAGGAACGCTGGTCCCATCGTGGCGTCCAAGATGACCACGTCACCCTGACAGCATGCCACCGTCCACGCAGCTCGTATCCTACGAGTGTGGCTTGCCAGGGTGTAGAAATCCGAAGCTCTCAGACGTAACACAGCCTTCCCTCCCGCGGTGGAGGGGCAAACGCTGATATCCCCATTGGCCGCCCAAATGTGTGCCTGTTGCAGCACCTGCGCTCTCACCAGGAAGTCCTTGCCTGCCGGCACAAAATCGCCGTCCAAACGAAGATCAAAGCATGCTAGCTGGCCTTCCCGAAGATCCTGGCAATGTGCCGCAAAACCAAAGAGATCCCTCAATGACTCCCAGGCTGGATGCGTCGCTCTTTCATGTGTCCCCTGGTTCGACATGGCAGGGCCCAATTTGCAGGCACGAGGCTACCCAACGACCTCGGCTCTAGTCGCCCTGGGCCGAGAGGCTCCCTAACCCTAAACCCTAAACCCTAAACCCTAAACCCTAAACCCTAAACCCTAAACCCTAAACCCTAAACCCTAAACCCTACAGCCCCAAACCCTGAACCCAAACCCTGAGCCCAAAACGCCCTAAACCCGAATCCCAAAACCCTAAGTGGCTGAAATAACCCTTAGTAAATCCTGAGCCCTCAGCCCTTCCTCAACCCTAAAACCGTAAAACCCTGCACCCTAAATCCTATAAACCCGAAACCCTAAACCCTAAATATACCCTAAACTCTAAACCCCAAACCCGAAACCCGAAACCCTAAACCCGAAACCCTAAACCCGAAACCCTAAACCTAAACCCTAAACCCTAAACCCTTGCCCCACCAAGGTCGAGCCAGTCGTCGGCCTGCCTGTCGCGCTGCCGGCGCTCTCGAGCTCTGCGGCATCAACTCTTTACACTCGGGCTTTTCGTGTTTGTGTTTAGGGTTTAGGGTTTAGGGTTTAGGGTTTAGGGTTTAGGGTTTAGGGTTTAGGGTTTAGGGTTTAGGGTTTAGGGTTTAGGGTTTAGGGTTTAGGGTTTAGGGTTTAGGGTTTAGGGTTTAGGGTTTAGGGTTTAGGGTTAGGGTTTCTTGGGGCTTAGGGTTTACGTTTTGGGCTTCTTCAATTATTGGGAGGTTGAGAGTGTACCTCGACTCCGCCCTCTCAGAAAGGCTTATTCAGTGATGATACGGCGTTGAATGGTGCCGCTTTTTGGGGGTGGGCTATTTAGGAAACCCTAAACCCTGAACCCCAAACCCTAAACCCCAAACCCTAAACCCTAAGCCCTAAACCCTAACCCCTAAACCCTAACCCCTAAACCCTAAACCCTAAACCCTAAACCCTAAACCCACAGGGGACCCGGGGTGCAAAAAGCTGCCCAAGATGGAGCTCCTGTTTCGGTGCGCCGCGAAGTTGCCTCTTTCTGTTTGTCATGGCTTTAGAGTACGATAAACGCTAAGCCTTTTGCCCCGAACCGAAGAAACCTGAGGCTTGTAAGGGTTGAGGGTCTTTAGGGGATTTGGGCAGGCGTTTAAGGGCTAGGGCTTTTCGAGCTTGCTTCAGGGTTTAGGGTTTAGGGCGTTTAGGGTTTGTGCCAGTAGAGGTTTGTCAGTCGAGTCTGGTGCGGGTTCTGGGCACGTTGTTGGGGTGGGAGGGAGGGGGTCTGTGCTGGCTTTTCTGCAGCAACGACCCCCAAGGCCCTAAACCCCAAGACCCAACACCTAAACCCGAAGCTACCGTAAGCCCCGAAACCCTAAACTCTAAACCCTACAGCCTACACCCTTAACCCTAAACCCTAAACTCTAAATCACCCCAACAGCCATTCAGGGCTGTTGCGGGTTTTCCCCCCCCCCACATGTACCCGAGCGTCTTCTTAGGGATACTTACTTGGGAATCATTCTTAATCTTTGGGTACTTTTATTTAATTCCTAAGAAACAGCTCAAATTAAAATTCTTAATCTTTAGGTTTAATTCCCAACAAACAGCTAAAATCACAATGTTGAATCTTCAGGTACTTTAATTCCTAGGAAACAGCTCAAACTTTAGTTTCTGCTAGGGTTCCCCAAGTTCAGTAAACCCTAAACCCTAAACCCTAAACCCTAAACCCTAAACCCTTAACCCTAAACCCTAAACCCTAAACCCTAAACCCCAAACCCCAAACCCCAAACCCGAAACCCTAAACCCTAAACCCTAAACCCTAAACCCTAAACCCTAAACCCTAAACCCTAAACCCTAAACCCTAAACCCTAAACCCTAAACCCTAAACCCTAAACCCTAAACCCTAAACCCTAAACCCAAGCTCAGCTCAGTGTATCTTGAGGCAAGGTGGGGAGCCGCAAGGCGCTGCGGCAGCTCCAGGGCCTATGGTTCCGAGAGGCCTCCTTGATTTTTGCGTTTCGGGGTGGGGGGGGGGGGGGGTTTGGGGTTTGGGGTTTGGGGTTTAGGGTTTAGGGTTTAGGGTTAGGAGGGTTTAGGAGGGTTTAGGAGGGTTTAGGAGGGTTTAGGGGGTTTAGGAGGGTTTAGGAGGGTTTAGGAGGGTCTAGGGGTTAGGGGATTTCAGGGTCTGAGGTTGGTGGGGGGGTCACTTCCCACCCCAAGACCCTGTTAGATATGAGTCTCACCGGCATGTCGCACAACACATGGTGCGCGATTGCTGCTACTGTTAGCACTGAGGTTGGGATGTTCCTCCTTCATGAAACCAGTCCAGAGTAGCGATTTTGGTACCTCCTTTTATCATGCCTATTCAGGATTAGTACTAAAATCCCTATTAAGGATTGTTGGCTTAAGGGGTAACATCCCAACTCTTAGGGGGGCGAGTCTTCCCCGTGTCGCGGCTTGGATCTTGCGAGGCATCGGATCTTAAACCCCTAGCCTCAACCCTAAACCCTAAACCCTGCTTTCTCCCCAGCCTTTCAAGCCTGAAAGCCCTGGAGCAGCAAACAACGGCAGTTCCCGCCTTCTTGAAAAACAGTTCGAAGGCGCCCTGATAGCCACCAACCCTATCAACCCTTATGAGAACCCCATCTCAACCTGTCTCAACCCCGATATAAACCCCAAATCAACCCTATAAGAGCCCCTGCAAACCCTATATCAACCCTCTAAGGACCTCGTCTAAACCCCCTAAACCCTAAACCCTAAACCCTAAACCCTAGACCCTAGACCCTAGACCCTAGACCCTAAACCCTAAACCCTAAACCCTGAACCCCAGGATGGCGAGCTCATCGCCCAGATCATCGACTCCCTCGTCATCTTCGAGGGCAACCAGGTGTCGAGGCTGCTCCTCGGCTTCTGAGGCTCGAATTCTGCTGGGTTTAGGGTTTAGGGTTTAGGGTTTAGGGTTTAGTGTTTTGGGTTTAGGGATTAGGGGTTAGGGTAGCCTAAAAACCCTTAAAAAGCCCTAAAGAACCCCAAAAGCCCTAAACACCCTAAAAACCCTAAACCCCCCCCAAAAGCCCTAAACCCCCTAAGCCCTTACGCCGGGCACCCCTTTCAAAGGCTTCCGGGCACCTCATAGAAGGATCCCTTACCCTTCTTGCTTTTGTTTTAGGTGGGTACGCCGTAAGGAGTTGTATTCTGCGGGATCCTAACGTAGAACAACCATTCAGCGTTTTAGGGTTTAGGGTTTAGGGTTTAGGGTTTAGGGTTTTGGGGAGCCCTGGGAGCCCTCTCGAGTGTTCAGGGCTTATCGGCTTGGACGTCTCTGAAACCACTCCTAAACCATCAAAACCATGAACCCTAAACCTAAATAGTACACCTTGAAAGCCAAAAACCATCAATCTTCGGGCCCCGAAACCCTTTTGCACCCGCCTTCGGGTTTCAGGGTTTAAGGGCTTCAGGGTTTTACGTTTTCAGGGTGTAAGGGTTTCAGGTAAAGGGTTTAAGGTTTTGGGGGCTTCAGGGTTAAGGGTTTAGGGGCTTAAGGGTTTGAAGCTTTCCCCTGAACCCTGAACCCTGAACCCTGAACCCTAAACCCTAAACCCTAAACCCCAAACCCTAAACCCTAAACCCTAAACCCCAAACCAGCCGGAAGTTCGACCCAGGTCCGTGCTGGCGACGAACCGCTTCGCTCTCGAATGGGAAGGCCCTAACCCGCAACCCTAAAATACTGGTTTAGGGTTTAGGGTTTAGGGTTCAGGGTTTAGGGCTTAAAGAGCCCCCAAAATAGAAGATAATAACCCCAAAATACTATTTGCTTAAAGAGCCCCCCCCAAAATAGAAGATAATAACCCTAAATGACTATTTGCTTAAAGAGCCCCCCCCAAAAAAAAATAGCAGATAATAATCCCTGTTGTAGTGCCCTGAATATAAGTAAGACTGTTTTTTTTTTTTGTTTTTTGTTTTTTGTTTTTTGTTGTTTGCTCCTTTTTTTTTTTTTGGGGGGGGGGGGTTCTGAAGCAAATAGTCGTAAACCTTGATGCCTTGAATCCCCAAACCCAGAGAAACACTTCGAAACCTAAGCTCCATAAGCCCCGTACGCCCTATAAACTCCAAACCCCCTAAACCCCCGAGACCCCCTAGACCCTATGTAAGCCCTATAATCCCTAAAAACCCTGTAAACCCAATAAACGCCATAGACCCAGTAAACCCAATAAGCCGTGAACCCTAAAACCTAAACCTTAACCCTCGAAATGGCGGGCCCTTCGCCTGAAACTTGTGCTCCGAAGTCTCTGGTGGGAAAACCGGGGGGGGGGGGGGGCTCCTTATATAATAGGCTGCAGGGACAGGTTATTCAGGGTTTTGGGGTTTTGAGTTTAGGTTTTTCAGAATTGCAGGAGGCCCTCTTGCAAGCGGCGCTTTTCACGGGGTTGGAGTGCTCCTAACTGCCGCAGTCAGGAGACGCCCCAGGCATGTAAAGTGGGAAGGCGTCACGCGCACTTTCACCCTTATGTGACTCGTCTCACTTGTGCAGCTCATCTGGCCAACATGATTAAATTACATGATTTATGCAATGCTCGTTTGTGTAATGTGCATACAATCATGATCAGCAGAGGGTTTTACAGTCTGTAGTATTTGGTTTCCTGCCCCGAACTCATCTTGTACAACATCTGCTCGGTAGCCCAGTGGTGCCCTTTTTACTGTTTTTTTGGTTCTGGGGTTCCCTTTGAGAGAAACCAACCCAAAGAAGTGTGCCATTATTGTAGTATACCAAGTACGCAACCCTAGCCCTAAGCCCTAAGCCCTAAGCCCTAAACCCTAAACCCTCAACCCTCAACCCTCAACCCTAAACCCTAGGCTTCGGCGAGGCTGTAGGATGTCTTGCGAAGGCCGCGAGCACGTCGGGACTTTGGAAGTCGACGCGCAGGCACGTGCATGTTTCTTCACGCGTTCAGGGCTTAGCGGTTTAGGGCAAGCCCTAAACCCTAAGCCTAAACCCAAAAACACCCTAACCCTAAATCCTAAGCCCTAAGCCCTAAACCCCTAAACCCCGGCTTGCAGGCATTCTCCTTGCCCGGGGTCTTCTGTAGGTCTCCTCCCGGGAATCCTGCACCCAAAGAATCCCTGCAGCGCCCCCCCAAGTTGTTTAGGGTTTAGGGTTTAGGGTTTAGGGTTTAGGGTTTAGGGCCGCAGAGAACCCTGCAGATTGCGTAGGCGTTGGGGGTTTAGGGAGCTTAGGGGGTGAATGGTTTATCGGGGGGTTTTAGGGGGGTCGAGGGGGCTTAGGGGGGCAGAGAAGAACGCCGAGAATGCGGCTGAGTCAACTTGCCGGAGGCTTGAAAGCGGGGATGAGAAGTGATCAATCCTAGTGGTAGAGTAGGTCACCTTGAACCTTTTTGGGGTAACATAATCCCCTTAGAATCCCACAGGTTAACCTTTGGTTCCCCCAGGTTACTGGACAACTAAGCAGTTGTTGTATCATACACTGGTTGTCGTACTACTGCATCTCTTGTTTATGCGGGCAGGGGGGGGGGTGAAGAGGGTGTAGGATACAGCAAGCACCCCCAGGCCTCTCTGACCTGGAGCGATGGTGACGTCTGGCTGCGGAAATGAGAGGCGCGAGGGTGAGTTTCAAGAAAGGTGGGTGTTGGGTTTAGCAGGGTTTGGGGGGGCTTTAGGCTGGGGGTTTTCAGGGGGTGTTAGGGGGTTTTGGGGGGTGGGGGGGGGGGGTTGGGGGGTTTTAGGGTGGTTTTAGGGTTTTTTTTTTGGGGGGGGGGGGGGGTAGGGGCTTGCGGTTTAGCCACGCGGGAGGCGGCGGGCAGGCTTCGCCCTCAAGTCCGTGTTTTAGACTTGCTAGGGTTCCCTTTTTGCGTGACCAACCTCAAAAAAAGGGCTGCAGAATATGGTTACTGGGCTACCCAGAGTCTCCCTGCAGTTTTTAGGGGTTTTAGGGGTTTTAGGTTTCGGGTTTAGGGTTTCGGGTTTCGGGTTTAGGGTTCAATCCGCTCAGGCCAAGTTTCTTCCACTGCCGCCGGAAGGTGGCCCTGGATCGTCTTTGACGACACCGCCGCCCGGCACGAATGGAACCACCGGGAACACTCCAGAGTCCATTTTCTCCGCCGCAACTCCCCAAACCCTAAGCCCTAAACCCTAAGCCCTAAACCCTAAACCCTAACCCTAGTTCAGCTCCTGGCTTCTTCAGCGCCGCACCTTTTTTGTTGGAGCTGCGCGGCTTGCTTGGGGGCCTGCTTCGCAGCCTTTGCCCCCAAGCTCCTCCAAAACCCCTTAGGGTTTAGGGTGTAGCGCTCAGGGTTCAGCCTTATATACGAACAGTCCTCAATAGGGACTCTAGTAGCCCCCTAGCCTAAACCCTAAACCCTAAACCCTAAACCCTAAACCCTAAACCCTAAACCCTAAACCCTAAACCCTAAACCCTAAACCCTAAACCCATAATCCCCATGAAGGACTGTTCGGGGAACCTCCCAATGCGTTCCCAGAAGCCCCCCAGAAGCCTTAAGGTGAGCACACCTTACACCCCCATTTGGGTTTAGGGTTTAGGGTTTAGGGTTTAGGGTTTAGGGTTTAGGGTTTAGGGTCTGCAGGCGCAACTTTGCGAGCTGGGCCCGTGCCGCGCCTGCTGGTCTCTTGGGCCGCAAAAAAGTTTAGGGTTTAGGGTTTCGGGTTTCGGGTTTAGGGTTTAGCCCCTCGGTCTAGGGGTCAGGGTTAGGACCCCGCCCCACCCACTGGCAAGTAATTAGGTGGAGCCGATCCAACATGACTATGTTCGATCATGGCCCAAGACATCCTCTCTGAAAGCGCTAGTTGTACATAAGCCTAGAAACGAAGCGTCCTCGCACAGTTGCCTTTGTGGTACTTAATACTGTAACTTTAGATCCTTAGCCTTTTTGGGTTTATTGGGTTCTTAACAAGGCAGCTAACAGTTTAATTTATTGCTCCCCTCCTGAGTGCAGCCAAGTTGCCATCCTCGCGTCATGGCTGCCCTCACCGTCCTTTCGACGTCATGCGTTCTTTTCCAGGGTAGTTCTGAGAGGCGCAATTCTTCGCATTGCTTCGCCCAATTAAGGAGGATCTCTCAGGGCCGTGGTCAAGATCTTACTGAGCCGATAGTTGAACTCAAACTCTAAAATCCTAAGCCCTGAAACCCTAAACTCGAAACTCGAAATGGGCATTTCCCAAAATAGGGGTTCCCAAGTAGAATAGAATCCCCTTAAAGAGACCCCAAAAAGGTACCCCTATTTCGGAACCCCCCCCCTCAACTCCTACACCCGAAACCAGGAGCCCCCGCAGTTGAAAACCCTAAACCCTAAACCCTAAACAGCCCAGGCAGCCGCCGCGCAGCGCGCAATCCTAAAGGGGACGCCTGAGCGCTGGCGGGGAGCCGAAGACGGTGCCAACCGCAAATACTGCGAGTTGAACATGGCCAGGGCTTGAGGGCTTCAGGGCCTGGAGGGTGTAGAGTTTAGGGTTTAGGTTTTTTTGGTTTTTAGGGTTGTAGTTAAGGGTAGAGGGTTGAATTCGGGGGGTTAGGGTTTTAGGGTTGGGAGCGGGAAGGTTAATGTCGGGTTTCGTCTTTGAGGCTCTAGGGTTTTAGGATGGGTTTAGGGCTTCAGGCTGCTTCAGGGTTGATGAACAGAAATGTGTTATGAGAGACCCCACAAGAACTCGGTTCATAGAACATAGACACATGCATGTGTATATATATATATAGATATAGATATACATATATATATATGTATATCATATATCAACCTTCCACATGATGTGCTTGAGGCTCTTTGTTTCAGATGCCTGTTACAAATAGCGCTCTTGGTCTTTCTTGCGGGGTACACTTTTCAGGTGTCTCTCTCCATCGTCCGTTTAGACCTTATACGCCCCAAAGCCCCAAACCCCTCCGAACCGCAAGGGGTGTAGGGTTTAGGGTGGCTTTTTTGCCACACCGGCCCTGAGTCGCCTCAACTTGACAAGGCTCAAAGACGAGTGCATTCCATGAAGCCCCCCCCCACCGAAACCCGAAAACCACGGTGGGTTGAGGGTTGACAACCTTCCCGCCTTGCATGCCCTAAAGCCTCTACCTTGTATACCCTCAATCCCAGACCCTAAGCCCTTAACCCTATACCCGAAACCTTAAATCATAGTCTACCCTAGAAAACCGCGCACCCCCCAATCGACATTTGGGTGGTAGTCGAGCGCTGGTCCCGGCCGTCTCCCACGGCTCGGTGCCGGTGACCGGTGCCTGTGGAGGCTTGGAGGGGACTTTTGTGAGCTTGACAGCCCCCACCGCCCCAACCCTTGAACCGAAACCCTGAACACCCTAGCTGCTTTCAGGTCATGGGCTCGTACCGCGGCCTCGGCCGATGCTACTGAGGTGGGAAGCTCCACGAAGTTCCCAACAGGTTGTGTTGATTTTTTTTGATTCAGGGTTTTTTGAGGTTAGGGTTTTTAGGGTTTTTGTTTGGGGTGCTTCCTATAGGTCTCAGGCTTCGGAGACTCTTGGGTTTTTTTTGGGGGAGGCTTTGGGGCTTCATTGCCTCGAGCTGTCGCTTCATGCCATGATACCCCCCTGAGCCTTAAACCCAACACCCAAAAAACAACCCTGAACCCTGAATCCTAAACCCTAACCTGGGGACACATACCCTAAAACCTGCCGAAATCCCCCCCAAACCCCTCCAACCCCCCCCCCCCCCGAAAACATTGCTTGAATTCAGGGAACAAAAGAAGGGTTCCTACAAATCTCCCTAAACCCGAAACCCTAAATTACTTGAATTCAGGGAACAAAGAAGGGTTCCTACAAATCTCCCTAAACCCGAAACCCTAAACACCAAACCCTAAACCCCAAACCCTAAACCCCAAGCCCTAAACCCCAAACCCTAAACCCCAAACCCTAAACCCCAAACCCTAAACCCTAAACCCCAAACCCCAAACCCTAAACCTCAAACCCGAAACCCTAAACTATTTGAGCTCAGGGCCCTCCTTTGCCAGCTCCCCTGGCTCCTGGCCGCAGACTGCGGCGGTCGCTTGGAGGCGCCGGGCGCGCCGGCGCCAGGCGGGGGGGACGGAGAGCTACAGGGGGTTTAGGGTTTAGGGTTTAGGGTTTAGGGTTTAGGGTTTAGGGTTTAGGGGTGAGGGTTTAGGGTTCAGGGCTACGGGCTTGAGGCGTATAAATGGGCTTTCTTCTGGCTTGCTGTTAGATTTAACCTTTTGGGTTTTTGTAGAAACTACGATAAGGAGTCTAAAAGTAAGTGAAACTTTTAGGAGAGGGCTGATGTACGGAGTTATAGGGTTTGGGGTTTGCAGGGTTAGGGCTCAGGGGAGGCGCATAGGGCTCAGGACTTCTAAGCTTCCAGGGCGTAGGGTTTGGGGACTTCGCAGGCTCGGGGTGTCTAGGGTTCCGAGGGGGGGGGGTTTAGGTGGCCTTAGGGGGGGGCTTTGGGCTCTGGGGGTCTGAGCCCGGCTGAGGGGTCAAGATGCTCTAAGAAGGGTTTAGGGTTTGGGGTTTAGGGTTTAGGGTTTGAGGTTCAGGTCAGCTAGTTGGGGCTCAAGGTGGTGGAGGGCTTCGGAGGTTCGAGGGCTCTTTCGGCACGAGCGGCCTGTGCAGCGAGTGCCGGGTTTAGAGGTTTTTTCGGGCAGTGAGTGCGAGTTTCTCAGTGGATCGAGGGACGTTTCCAGCATTTGGATCTTTATTGATCCTTATTCAGGGCTTCCCCTAAACCATGAACCCTGAACCCTGAATCCTAAACCCTAAACCCCAAACCCTAAACCTTACACCCTAAACCCTATCTCAACAAGAGAGGCCTGTCGCTGAGCTTCGCCCGCGAAGCTGCGGCCAATGGCAGCATCATCCCACTGCAGCAGGGGGCCCTGCAGGTGCTGCGGGGGGGGGGGGGGGGGGGGGCAGGAGGCTATTGAACCCTACATTGCTAGAAGTCCTCACACGTAGCTGTGCTATATAATATACTTATATACATATACCATAATTTTATCATACCCTAAACCCTAAACCCTAAACCCTAAACCCTAAACCCTAAACCCTAAACCCTAAACCCTAAACCCTAAACCACGACACAGCATGAGGGGTTTTTCGGGCCGCAGACGGTGTGTTGGGAACCTTCCAGGTCTAGGCCCCGCAGTAGGCCTGAGGCAGGTGGTCAAAGGAGGTACGCGATTACAGGGCCACAGGGTTTAGGGTTAGGGTTTAGGGTGTAGTCTGTTGGGTTCAGGGGTGACATATGTATGTACGTATGAATGCAGATATGGAGATCTCAACAACCCGACGTGCCACAGAGCCCGTAGAGCTCAAATCCCTTCCCCCTAATATGAACGCCCCCCCCCACCAATAGAAACTCGAAGTGTGTTTTTGTTATTAGGGGGGATGTTTTTATCCAAATGTCAGGGAAGGGAGGCAAGGGAGCTTCAGGATGCTGTTTGGCTTGAGGGTTTTGGGAGCCCTGAACCCCCCCTAATTCGGAATAGGGTTCAAAAGGGGGGGTCGGTTTCGGCAGGATTTCCAGGAATTTGTCTTTAATAATTTTAAATTGGGGTACGTTTATCAGCCCTAAACCCCTAAACCCCAAAACCCTAAACCCTAAACCCTAAACCCTAAACCCTAAACCCTAAACCCTAAACCCCAAACCCCAAACCCTAAACCTCTAGAAGCTTTAGCCCGACAGGAGCCCCTGGCCAGCGGAGCAAGCCGGGCCCTGGACTGCCACGACATCCATTGGGGCCCGGGAGCCCCAAAAGGGAGGGCCTGTTGGGCGGGGGCGGGGGGGAGTAGTTAGGGTTTAGGGTTTAGGGTTTAGGGTTTAGGGTTTAGGGTTTTGGGTTTTGGGTTTTGGGTTTTGGGGGTTAGGGTTTAGGGTTTTGGGCTGCAAGAGTTCCACCCTCTCCATTGCCTGCGACGCAGACGATGCGTTCTCGCAAGGTCCAGGCAACCACGAACGAGGAAGGCCGCCTTCCAGCAGCTCCACACAAGCAGCAAGCTGTCTGTGCATCGCAGTCTGCCTGATTCTTGATGGTTCCTGCCTACTGTATGCGTTGCACAGCCACTCTTCTGGCCACGGACCATGGAAGTGGCGTGGGTTCGGCCTGCATCAAACAGCGACTGGAGAGTCGAACGCCGCAAACGGTGTACCGTACAGCCCTTGTTGCCGTCGGATACTTCGAAATGCTCGCAAAAAAAGACCACGGGGGGAAAAAAAAAACTAAACCCTGACACCCCTAGCCCTAGCCTAAAGCCCTAACGCCCTCAAACCTACAACAGCTCCCCCTCCTCCTTCCACCCAGACCTGGACACGGCACCATCTCGCGCATGCTGTCAGCGCAAGATTCCAACGAGTTTGCACACGATCATCAGGCTCACACGTAGGTTCTACTCGAGCGTGGGCGAGGTGAATGCATGTTTGGAAGGGAACTCCGCATCCTGATGACTGTTCTTGTGAGCCGGGTCGAGAATGATGCCAAAACAGCTGGTCCGGATGACCAGACGTTGGTGAGTTTTTGGGCATGGTCTGATGTGCGGGTTTCCGAAATTGGCGGGTGCCTTATTGGGGTCCTTCTTATCAGGGAATCCTACTATTTGTGGGTCTATAGTAGGGGTCCCTTATTTTCGCAAATCCCCATATTGCATTCTGGTGGAGACTGCTTCGGCCCTGAGTGTCCAATTCCCATGCCTCACCCTGCAAGCAAGAAAGCCCGCACACTGAATACCTCGCACCCCGCTGGACTTTAAAAGCCCTAAGCTGTTAGCTCCTAGAACCCAGCTTCAGGGACCCAGATTCTGAACTCTAGTCCCTACCGTCATTCCTCCTCACTGAGCCAAACCCTAAACCCTGAACCGCCCTAAAACCTGAAACCTGAACCCTTAACCTTGACCCCTAAACCCTGGACCCTGAACACTGAGGCCTGGCGGGCATCGGAACAGTGCGCTGCAACGGGAGCCAGTTCGAGGCTCTTCTGAGGGTTCAGGGTTTAGGGTTAGGGTTCAGCCCTTAAGCCCTGGCCCCATCAAAACTTGAGACCCCTTTTGGGTGTCAGGAATCAGGGCCTCTAGGTTTCGGTGGCATGTTCTGGGGGCACCCAGCAGTGTAACGGGGGCTGTCTCCCACAGCCGGCTGCGTCCCAAAGCGCCACGAACAGAAAAATGGGTGCAAGGTGGAGGGTTCGCTATCCTTCTGTTGTTTCTTTCTGGGGGAGGGTGAGGTGGTGCAACAACCATAAGAATAGCAAGAACAGCGAGAACCAAGCGCAACAAGAACAACAACAATAACAATAACCACAGCAACTACATAAAACAACATGAAAGGATCATTCACAACACGACAAAGAAACATAAGCGAAAGTGGAGGTCCCTTTTCGCGTGCGCACTGTTGCAGATGTGCTTGCGGCGCGCACGCCCATGCCCCTCTGCAGCCGATCCTTCTGATTCTGCCGACCATAGTGCCACTTGACAGAGCCGTTGGCTGCAAGGCCGCTAAAACGGCACAAAGCCACCATGCCCTTGGGGATAGCGCGAAAAAGACGCGGCAAAAGGACACCGCCATGCGTGGGATGCTGCGCCGATGCGCCCCGACGACGCCCCAAAGGCGCGCATCATCGACAAGGGGTTTGATGATATTCCCCCGCGGTGGTCCGAGGTAATTACAAGCGAAGGCTGGCTGTTTCGGATCTAAATCGATCCCACGCATCATGAGCATCACTGGCTTCCGGGTTGAGGGTCTGGGTTGCCCCTATATAGGGGCTCTGCAATATGAAGGAAAGAACTGGGAACGGCCAGGGCCTTCAGGGCCCAAGGTGTTCCCAGGACCAGGAGTTCATGTGCGGGTTGCACAGTACCCCCCCTAGGGGCGTGAATAAATACAATGATTAGGTGGGGGAGTTTGTCACTTCTTTTTGAAGGGATGATCTGGTAAAGCTGTTCCGCTCCTGTCTTCAGCAGGCTACCGGGCTTAGAAGGTTTGATGTTTAGTCCAGGGTCCAGGGTTCAGGGTTTAGAGTTTAGGGTTTAGGGTTTAGAGTTCGCAAGCGCAGGTCGCGACAGCGGGCTGCGTGCGCAGTGGTTGCCCCTGGCTTCTGGGAAGCACTAGAGCTCTGCGCCCCCAGACCCCTCAGGTTACCAGCTCTGAGATGGGTCCCAGTTTGGGTTAGGGTTCAGGGTCTAGGGTCTAGGGTCTAGGGTTTAGGGTTCAGGGGTTAGGGGTTAGGGGTTTGGGGTTTGGGGGTTAGGGGTTAGGGGATTAGGGCATCGGGCATTCAGGGTTTAGGGCTTCAGGGGTTGGCTGCCCAGTAGTGCCCTTGTTGGGTTCCCTTGTGCGACCCCCAAGTGAGACAACGGGGGGCACCCCGTCTCCTCTTGGCCTTGTGGGGGACCTAGGAAACGTAGGGTTTAGGGTTTAGGGTTTAGGGTTTGGGGTTTGGGGTTTGGGGTTTGGGGTTTGGGGTTTGGGGTTTGGGGTTTGGGGTTTGGGGTTTGGGGTTTGGGGTTTGGGGTTTAGCGGGATCTTCCGGCTCAGGGTTTTGGATTTGGGCATTTAGAAGTATCAAGGGTTCAGAAGGGACTGCCGTGTACACCCCTAACTCTAAACCCTAAACCCTAAACCCTAGACCCTAGACCCTAGACCCTAGACCCTAGACCCTAGACCCTAGACCCTAGACCCTAGACCCTAGACCCTAGACCCTAGACCCTAGACCCAGACCCTAGACCCTCGACCCTAGACCCTCGACCCTAGACCCTAGACCCTAGACCCAGCTTGGAGGCATCGGCTCTCCTTGGCAGACGGCGGCACCACGTACCAGGAGTCTGAGGGCTGGGTGCTAAGCCCTAAGCCCTGGGCCCTAAGCCCTAAGCCCTAAGCCCTAAGCCCTAAGCCCTAAGCCCTAAGCCCTAAGCCCTAAACCCTAAACCCTAAACCCTAAATCCTATCCTTAATGGTTGAAAAAGGGGAGCGTGGAACCCAGCGCCTCCTTTCAACGCGCAGGCCCCCACCCGGGACCTGGCAGTCCCCGGAGCCGTCTCCCAAGCCCCAGACAAGTGGACGCCGCCGGCGGGGGGGCTCGGAGGGTTTAGGGTTTCGGGTTTAGGGTTTTAGGGTTTAGGGCTGCAACAATCTTATTTGTTTTGGGGTTCAAGGGTGAACCTTGATGCCTAAACCCTAAGCCCTAAACCCCAAACCCCAAACCCTAAACCCTAAACCCTATAACCCTATAACCCTATACCCCTATAACTCTATAACCCTATAACCCTATAACCCTATAACCCTATAACCCTATAACCCTATAACCCTATAACCCTATAACCCTAAACCCTCAACCCGAATCAGCCCACGGGCTCTGACAGCAGCAATTATGAGAGCTTAGAGCCACCCTTCAGGGCGTAGGGGCCCATGGGTTTGGGGCTTCAAGACTTCCATTCCTTTTCTCATGACTCCAAGTCCGCCGCCTTAAGGGCCCGAAGCCTTGAAAGTCCTAACCTTACATGATGCACATCCTAACCTCGAATTTTACACCCTAATTTCCTAAACTTCATCTACTTTTGGCTGGCTTAAGAGCCCCAAAAGAATACACATATCAAATTCCCTATATTTTCCTTAATAAGGAAGAAATATGTTCATTTTTTCGGTGTTCTCAAGCAATTAGTAATCCCCACACACCCTAAACCTGCAAGTCCTAAATACCCTGCGCCCCAAAGCCTCAAAGTTCTTGCTTGGCAAGGTCCTTGCATGGGATGGCGCTTTGTATGCAGCCCCCTTGGCTGCGGATAATGTCCTCCGGGTGGCGGAAGGTGCTTCAGGACGGAGCTGCCCCATGTGAAGCAGGGTTTTTATTTCTGTTTTTGGTGAGTGTATATAAGGTTCCTTTTTAATATTGTACCTGGTGTCCTTTTGGGGATACAAGAAATATATACCCTACTTCATGTAGAGTTAAGGGCTTTAGGGTTTGGTTATGGTTTAGGTTTTAGGGTTTAGGGTTTAGGGTTTATAGGGTTTAAGGGCCGCTGGGTGCCCTGAGTTGTTGAAGCCCAAGAGATCGCATATCACGCGCATGTCGCTCTTTCGCCATGGCACCTGTGTATGGGTAGCATTCTTGGGGGTTTCTGTGTGTCTGCACAAAGAAGCCCTCCCTTTCTCATTGGCATCCCAAGAACGAATCCGACGCAAGCCCACCGGAAGTGTGGTTTAGGTTTAGGATTTAGGGTTTAGGGCTTGGGGCTTAGGGCTTAGGGTTTAGGGTTTAGCTGCGCAAGACTGAAGCTGCGAGAACGGGTGAGGAACTGAAGTCACTGAAATCGCGCCCGCGTCGGCGCTGTCGGGAAGCTTCACGAAGTACGGCGCCGCCCTTTGGCCGCGCAGAGGCTAAGTCCGGCACCCGAAGCTCTTAAGGACTTCTGGAACTTTTTTGGGGGCTTTGAAACCCTAAACCCGAAAATCTTACAAAACAAGGCACTGAGGGTGAACAACGCTGGCTACCTGGCCCTTCGACCTGCTTGGCTTAGAACCCCCAAATCCTACACCCCAAAATGGGTTTAGGGTTTAGGGTTTAGGGTTTAGGTTCCCTTTTGGGGTTCTAAGGCGGCACCTATTAGGGCACACGAGAAGGGACAGTGTTTTTTGAGAACTGACCAGGAACCCCAAACCTCCCTGAACCGTAGGACGTCCGAAGTGCATTCTGCTTAGTTCTCTAAAGCATGGCCCCTTTTCGGGGTTCCTCTTGTAGAACTATAGCTTACCTAGTAGGACTTACTGGTTCTGAGTAGTAGATGAGGGAAGTCGTCTCCCGAAATAAAGGGTTATGAAGCAGTATAGCAAATGACAAAACCAGCAAGGAAATGGACTATAGGAGCCTTGCCCCCAAGACATGCCAAAGGCTGTCCTCGGCGGTGACGGCTTCGTGTACTGCATCCCGTACTCGGCGCAACAGGCGCGTGCCATCACGACGGGCTACCTACTGTACTATAAGGGCCTGAATAATTAGAATAGGGTTTAGGGGTTTGGGGTTTAAAGGTTTAGGGCTAGGGTTTTAGGGGCCTGAATGATTAGAGTAGGGTTTAGGGGTTTCTTGTAGTATAATTATACAGGGACCACAAGAGAATACTATTCGCAATTATTCCGACCCCTATGTTACGGAGTGAGGGCAGGCTCTAGAAACAGGATCCTACGATCCTGGCGCGTGCATACATTTCTATTGGAATCAATTTCCGGATGTAAAATTATTTGTCATTCTCACGGTTCAAACTTAGAGTTTTGGTATTTGTAATAGAGGTAACTACTCGCCTTCCCTAAGCCCGAAGCCCTAAACTCTATAACCCAAACTTCACTGAACCCTATTGCCTTGGCAGCCCAGCGGTACCCTTTCCCCTTGTTTTGGTTCAAGGTTCCATTCTAAAGTGACCAACCCCAAACAGGGTGCCCTTACTACAATATGGCTACTGGGCTACCAAGTTACGCAGCCCTGCCTCCCAGGTAATGCGAATCGACCCCGGCCTTGCTGCCGAGGGGACACTTGGCCTTGCTGTCGGGAACCTGTCGTTAGGGTTTAGGGTTTAGGGCTTCAGGGTTTAGGGTTTAGGGTTGAACATCCCAAGTTTGTGGTTTAGAGCTTCGGGGTTGTGGGAGCGTAAAGTTCAAGGGTTTAGGGTTTAGAGCAGAATGGCTTGTGGCAAGGATGCTGCACAGCTTGGGAAGGGCATGCGCGTGAAGCTCGCAGGAACGAGCCGCGTCCCCGCAATCCCGAAAACCCCCAGTTGCAAAAAAAAACCAGCAACCCTGAGCCCTATACACCCTAAACCCTAAACCCGAACCCCTTGGAGGCCCCCTGCCACCCCCAAAGCCCAAGCTGCTCCCCTCCTCCCAAGCTCTTTGGGGCTTGTAGGGCTCAAGGGTTTTAGGGGTTTCGGGTTTAGGGGTTCAGGGTTTGGGTCTTAGGGGTTTGGGGGTTTTGGAGCTCAGGGCTTAGGATTTTTAGGGTTTGAGGCTTTTTGGGCTTTCAACCCTAAACCCTAAACCCTAAACCTGGCTATGCTCAGGAATAGCTCGGCTCTTCAACTTTTTGGTGATGCGGGGACAGCAGGCTCGCAAAGCTCTGCTGGTGGGGGCCAAGGCTTGTTCGGCTGGTTTGTGAGGGTTTGGGGGGTGTGGGGGATTGGGGGTGCTTCAGGCCCTGAACCCAAAAACCCGAAACCCTAAACCCTAAACCCTAGGTTTATCTTGAGGGCTCGTAGGGTGAGGGCCCAAAGCTTTCAGGGTTTAGGGTTTAGGGTTTCGGGTTTAGGGGCCTACATCCACGCAGAATGAGCTCTATACCCTGCATTCTGAAGCTCCCAGGTTCGGGGAAAAAACGCAAAGAATCAGTCAAAACGCCTGAAATCCTGTACGTCCTGAGGGCCCCGAAGCGCTTCAACCCTAAACCCTGTCCATACCCTATACCCCATACCCTATGCCCTAGACTCGAAGCCCAAAAAAGCCCCAAAAGCAGGCTACAAGTGGCTGCATGGAGTGGCGAGCCAACAGGGCCCCATCTATGCGGTCCCCGCTGGGGCATCGACAGTGCTTGTTATAGACACGCAGCCGCCCGGCACAAGGGGTAAAGGGTTTAGGGTTTAGGATTAGAGGGTTGAGGGGGTTTAGGGTTGTTTAGGAGGAGGTCAGGGGGTTTAGGGGGTGTAGGGGGTTTAGGGGATTTGGGGGGTGTAGGGTCTAGGGGGCAAAGGGGTATAGGGTTTAAGGGTTGTAAGATGGGAAGGGAAGACTGCTTGTCATATGATATATCTGACATATCTGACTCGACCGGCAAGCTCATTCTTCATAAGGCATTTTGGTCGTTCACTTTAATTTCTCACTGTTGCCACTAAGAAGTTCTAGTGCAAGAGCTGGTCTGATCTAAACCCTAAACCCTAAACTCTAAACCCTAAGCCCTAAACCCTAAACCCAAAACCCCTGCAAAAAAATACTATCATCATCCCAGTTGGCGGTGCGCCAGGCAGCCTACAGCCGCGCAGTTTAGCGTTTAGGGCTTAGGATTTAGGATTTAGGGTTTAGGGTTTAGGGTTTAGGGTTTAGGGCTTCGGGCCTTACATGGGCTCAGGAATCCCAGGATCTCGGTTTTGCAACCTGTTGTTGCAGGCTGCGCGAGCCTTAGACATGCCGACGAATAGAGCCGTAGGACCCAGAGTAGGCCCTTTTTCCCTTTTTTGTTTAGGTTCAGGGTCCCTTATAATCCTCTTAAACCAAAAAGGATACCCTGTTTATTCCTCGGTTACTCTTGGGCCTAGACAAGGCTGCAGCCCAGGCCTTGCAGTCCGAAATGACTTGATCCTTAACTCCCTCCATCCCAGGGGTCGTTGCGATATTGCCTCAAAATCCCAGCTTTAGAGTAAACCCTAAACCCTAAACCCTATATAAACCCTAAAGGGTTCGAGGTGTTTAGGGGCCTCAGGGAGGGGGGTGTGGATATCACCTCCAGCGTCATGCCCAGCGGCACCCCAGGAACGCAGACCCTGCACACTGGACCCCAACCGAGCTCTTCGCGCGGGCCAGTGACATATATAGGGTGATGCCCGTTTTTGGATAAACCTTATGAAGCAAACTAAGCAGAGACAGGCGGCCCCGCGTGTTGCGCGAGTGTCATTTCGGCGTTGGACACCGGAAAGCAGGAACAACTCGAGGTTTCTGCGCGTCGCATTCGCTGGACGTGTCTCGTCCATTCTCAAAATCACCACTGCCACCATGGGATTAGCGATGTTTTCGAGACGCGAGAATCGCACCCCAAAAAGTGCTTGCTTTTTGAACTCTGTTTTCGGGCGAAAACACTGCGCACAGCGTTCTGGTGCTTATGTTGTACAAAGAGGCAACAATGTGCACAGAGAGGCAAAAAGGCTCAACTGCCCGGGTTGTGGCATCTTCGCCAAAAGTCACGAACACTTATGGCCGTGTGACTTGTTCCATAATATGTTGTATAGAGAAAGAAACATGTTGTAACTACCAGTGTTTGGCGCATCTTCGCCAAGGGCATGAACGCAGGTAGCTGGGTGTCTTGTTCCATAAGCGTCAAACATCCTTGGCAAAGACGCTGTAAATGCCGATATTTTCTTGGCAGGGGTCCTCATACATGAATGGACATTATTACCCCTCCCCTCCCCCCCCCCTACCCCTACCCCCAAACGCCTGAACTAGCCTGAACAATGCCAAAAGCAAAAGCAGGGTTCCCAGATGTTCCCCTAAAACCCTAAACCCTAAACCCTAAACCCGAGACGCTAAACAGCCCTGAGGTCGGTGTCCATTTCTGAATTAGCATCTCGGCCTTGGTCAGAAAGGGTCCTAGGGATTGGCGATCATGGTGGGTAGGGTTTAGGGTTTAGGGTTTCGGGTTTATAGGGTTTAGGGTTTAGGGTTGAGGGTTTAGGGTCTATAGGGCTCAGCCCTGCGTTCCACCCTCCACACACCTGAACCCATTGCCTGCTCAGAACTTTGATTTCCTATGAATTCCCCTTGCAAAAAAAAGAACTTCGGCCTGAACATAAGAGTTTGGGCGGAACCTCAATTGATTCAGTTGTGCTGAGGATTGAGGGGCTTGAGCATGGTCTCGTCTGGTTGCCTTTTCACAAATGGCGATTTATGTATTGTAGGTTCTGGGTTTTGGGGTATAGGCTTTAGGCTTAGGGGGAAAAGAATACTAAAATGGTACTAATAATAATAATAATAAATAATTAATAATAATAATAATAGGGGGTTACTGTCATCCCTCCTCGGGGCTGTTAGTATAAGGGGGAACGTCCCAAAGTGAGGGGAGCCCGCGCTTTGCCGTTGGCCAACTGGGCTACTAGATGCGACTCTTTATAACTGACGAGGGGTAGGGCAACTCAAGAGCCTTGTCTGGCACCTAAATCCCAACTAAGCCCCAAACCCCAAACCCCAAACCCCAAACCCTAGACCCCTGAACCCTGAACCCTAACCCCTAAATGACCTGTTGGGCTAAGGCCATCGGGCAGCCCCTGGCTGCCTCCCTGCAAAACTACATCCACGCCGTCAGGGGCCCTGGCACAGATGCCCTAAACCCTAAACCCTAAACCCTAAACCCTAAACCCTAAACTCTAAACCCTAAACCCTAAACCCTAAGCCCTAAACCCGAAACCCGAAACCCTAAACCCTAAACCCTAAACTCTAAACCCTAAACCCTAAACCCTAAACCCTAAACCCTAAACCCTGACCCTAAACCCTAAACCCTAAGCCCCTCTAAACCCTGAAGGGTCGAACTTGGCTACCCTGGAACCCCAGCCCCAAACCCGAAAACCTCCAGGCCCCTAGCCCTGTAGACAAGAACTTCACACCCAAGCCCAGTAAATCTCAGCCTTCCAAACCCAAAATCTACAAGCCCTGATCTCTTGGGCTACTTAGATCCCAAGCGCTAAGCCCCAAACCCTAAACCTTAAACCCTAAACCCTAACCTTAAATCCAACGCTGAACCCTAAGCCGAGGTGCTCTCACCTGAAGGCGACATCTTCGGTGTACCGGCCGATGCAACCTTCGTGCTCCCAGCTTGGCATGAAGCTCTTTGAGGTGGGTTTAGGGTTCAGGGCTTGAGGGGGGCCTCAGGGTGCCCCAAACCCGAAACCTTAAACCCTAAACCCAAAACCCCAAAACCCTAAACCCTAAACCCTAAACCAGAACCCTAAACCCCAAACTCCAAGCCCCAAACCCCAAACCCTAAACCCTAAACCCTAAACCCAAAACCCAAAACCTACCGAACCTTGGCGAAGGCTGGGGCCTTACCCACCCATGGGCCCCTACGCCCTGAAGGGCTCTAAGCTCTCAGAATTGCTGCTGTCAGAGCCCGTGGGCTGATTCGGGTTGAGGGTTATAGGGTTATAGGGTTATAGGGTTATAGGGTTATAGGGTTATAGGGTTTAGGGTTTGGGGTTTGGGGTTTAGGGTTTAGGGTTTAGGGCTATCGGGTTTAGGGTTTAGGGTTTAGGGTTTAGGGTTTAGGGTTGACTAAACCTCGACTCTTCATCCGAAAGGTTTTGAGGGAGCCAGAGCCCCAAAGGCCTACCCTAGGGTAGGCCCTTGGGATATCTGTACATTTTCTCTAATTGGGTTTAGGGTTTAGGGTTTAGGGTTTAGGGTGTAGGGTGTAGGGTGTAGGGTTTTCTTAGGAATGCTTTCAGAGGGTTTTGGGGAGCCATCAACATGCCGAAGCATCCAGCACCCAGGCTGTGGATACAGCCCGACAGTCAGGCTGCGGGCCTCCCACTTCTGCTTTAGGGTTTAGGGTTTAGGGTTTAGGGTTTAGGGTTTAGGGTTTAGGGTTTAGGGTTTAGGGTTTAGGGGGTTTAGGGGGTTTAGGGTCTAGGGTTTAGGGGGTTTAGGGGTTTAGTGGGTTTAGGGGGTTAGGGGGTTTAGGGGTTTGGGGGTATGGGGTTTAGGGGGTTTAGGGGGTTTAGGGGGTTTAGGGGTTTTAGGGGGTTTAGGGGTTAGGGGGTTTAGGGGTTTTAGGTGTTTAGGGTGGTTTAGTGGTTTTAGGGGGTTTAGGGGGTTTAGGGGGTTTAAGGGGGTTTAGGGGGTTTTAGGGGGTTTTAGGGGGGTTTAGGGGTTTAGGGGGTTTTAGGGGTTTTAGGGGGTTTTAGAGGGGGTTGTTAGGGGGTTTAGGGGGTTTAGGGTTTTAGGGGGTTTATGGTGTTTATGGGGTTTTATTAAGGGGTTTAGGTGTTTAGGGGGTTTAGGGGGTTTTAGTGGTTTAGGGGGTTTTAGGGGTTTTAGTGGGTTTAGGGGGTTTAAGGGGTTTAGGGGGTTTAGGGGGTTTTAGGGGGTTTAGAGGGGTTTTTAGGGTGTTTTAAGAGGAGGGGGGGTTTAGGGGGGTTTAGGGGGTTTAGGGGGTTTAGGGGGTTTAGTGGTTTAGGGGTTTATGGGGGTTTAGGGGTTTTGGGTGTTTAGGAGTTGGTTTTAGAGGGGGTTTAAGGAGTGGTTTAGGGTGTTTAAGGGGGTTTAGGGGTTTTAGGGGGTTTAGGGTTTTAATCAGGGTGTTTAGTGGTTTAGGGGGGGGTTTAGGGGGTTTATGGGGGTTTAGGGGTTTTAGGGGGTTTTAGGGGGTTTAGGGGTTTTTTTAATGCTAGGGGGGTTTAGGGGTTTTAGTGTTTTTTAGTGGGTTTTTAGGGGGTTTATTGGTTTATCGGGGGTTTAAGGGGTTTAGGGGGTTTAGGGGGTTTAGGGGGTTTAGGGGGTTTAGGGGGTTTAGGGGGTTTAGGGGGTTTAGGGGGTTTAGGGCTTAGGGGGTTTACGGTCTAGGGCCTGGGCTTTCTTGCCGTTCGGGTTTTGCTTCTTTGCTTGTGTACTTTCCGAGCTTGCTTGGAGGGCGGATGGTCCCTAAACCCCAAACCCTAAACCCCAAACCCCTACACCCCAAACCTTGAGCCCTAAACCCTAAACCCCAAACCCTAAACCCTAAACCCTAAACCCCAAACCCCAAACCCCAAACCCTAAACCCCAAACCCGCAACCCCTAAACCCGACGAACCCGAAAAACTCTCGCGGAGGCGGTCACAGCCCTGGGTAGCCTGAGCGCTGACAGTGGGGGAGCCTGGAACCTTCATGCCCACTGTCTTCTTCGGGTTTCGGGTTTAGGGTTTAGGGTTTAGGGTTTAGGGTTTAATTAGGGTTTAGGGTTTAGGGTTTAGGGTTTAGGGCGCAGATGCCTTGTGATCCTACTTAAGTGGGTTTCCGGGAGTTGGGGGCACCCTTTTTTGTTGGGTTAATGAGGGATTTTCGTAGTTCTTGGTGTAAGTTGAGGGGACCTATTTTCTGAAAGTACCAGTGTCACACCGACAAAAATCACCTCGGCCATAACCCCTAATCTTTTAAGTTCCCTAAGCCCGAACCCCCAAACCCTAATCAAACCGAAGCTCAGCGGGCGCGTTGCCTTGCAGAAACCCTGCAAGCCACGGCTCTACACCCAGCACATGTGCGCGCAGGAGTTTCAGGCTAAAACGGGCTTAGAGTTGGGGATTCGGGTCTTTAGCTCGGTTTAGCGGCTAGGCGAATATCCTAAACCCCCAAGTGAACTAGAGTCATCAAGCTTGTTGTTGTGTTTGTGTGGGACCATTGAGGATTGTGGAGTTCTCTTCTTGCCACCATGAGTAGCAAGCCCGTCCTTAACTTTCATCGACGCCACGACCTCGACTTTCAAAACCTTTCACAAGGTTTCCGAAACAACTGATTCTTGTGACACCCAAACAACCAGGTTTAGGGGTTTCAGGTCGAAGCGCCGGTCAAGCCCCGAACCCTCAAAACGCCAGCGCCCAAACCCGACCTGTGGGACCCCCCCCCGTCCCAAGGCCTCAAGTGGCGCGGGGCCAAGTGTGCGTGACATCAGACGGCTTAGGGCTGAGGCTTGGTTCTTAATCATACATCCTTACACACTGTGCATGTCGGGCTTAGTCAGGGCCGCGTTTTCTTTCGCTTGGGGCTTGGGGGCTTATGAGTCCTTCAACATCCCTGAACCCTCAACCCTAGACCCTAAACCACGACTGGATGTGGGACGTTAGTGGCAGGCTACCGCTGAGTTTAGGGCTTACTGGGTCAGGGTTGATGACCCAACGATGACACCCAAAAACCCTGCAACCTCTGACCCCCAACGTTGACCCAGAGCCTCACATCCATGCAACCAAAGCGCAAAAGCCCTCACCTGTGAAGCCGAAAGCACCGTGAACCTCAAACCCTGAACCCTGGACCCTCATTCCTAACCCTAAAACCCTAAAACCCTAAAGCCCTAAAACTCTCAAGCCCTACAGCCCTAAAACCCCCATGAGGATGCACGGCATCGTCGCTGCCGATGGGCGGATCTACTGCATGCCCGGCTCAGCCACGGCCGGGGGCCCTTTCTGAAGCCGAAGATTCAGGGTCCAAGGCATCGTCCTTCGGCTACGTAGGTATAGGGTATAGGCATAGGGTTTAGGGTTTAGGGCTTAGGGCTTAGGGCTTAGGGCTTATGGTTTAGGGTTTGGGGTTTAGGGTTTAGGGGTATTGGGCTACTGGTTTAGGGCATCCTTTTCTTTGGGAGGACAATCCTGACTTTGCCCCCGCACATTTCAGCAAGAAAGCCGGTAAACTTCAGCACGCAAGTTACCCTAAACCCCAAACCCCAAACCCTAAACCCTTAGCCCCAAGCCCCAAGCCCCAAGCCCTAACCCCTAAACCCGAAACCCTAAACCCTAAACCCGAAACCCTAAACCCTAAACCCTAAACCCTAAGCCCTAAACCCTAAACCCCAAAATCCGGCAGCCCAAAGCCTGCGGCACGACCTACGACCTGGGAGGCCGTGCTGCGGATCGATCCGTCCGCCAGCCCCCCGACCCTCAACCTGACTTTGGGCGCCCGGACACCCAGCTGGGCGTAGGGTTTAGGGTTTAGGGTTTGGGGTTTGGGGTTTAGGGTTTGGGGTTTAGGGTTTAGGGATTTTCAGCCTGCCCTGTCCGCATTCGCGACCACACGGGCAGGTCCCCAAAAGAGGTGCCCCAACTTGCTAAGACCCTTATGATAGGAACCCCCGCAAGACAAGCGTTTCGGGTTTCGGGTTTCGGATTTAAGGAACCCCCCCCCCCCCCCCCCCCCCCCCCTGTGCGTTTCAGAGACTTGGCTTGGTCTAGCATGGGTTTAGGATCCGACCAAGAGGACATTCCAGCAAAGTTGCGCGCACGACGTTGTTGCATCACGCGGCGGTCTTACCATCTCGGGGCGCTAGGTGAGGTATGCCCAAACCCTAAACCCTACATAAGCCCTAACCCCCCTAAAACAACCCCAAACCCTGAAGCCCCTAAACTTTCTGAATCCTGTGGACGGCTTTCCACTCAGGAGGGTCTTCTGGACCCGCTGCTGACCCGAAAGTGGCCTCTCGACGGGATCATGGGGTGCAAGCGTGATCGGGCTTGGCTTAGGGCTTCAAGCGTGATCGGGCTTAGGGCTTATGGCATATTGTGGGGTTTGGGGTTTAGGGTGTAGGATTCAAGTGAGCTAAGGTTCAGGGACTTCGGGTTGCGCGTCCAGGCCTTAAGGGGTTCCAGGTTTGTACCGAAACCTTCAAACCCCGAAGCTGTCAAGCCCTAAAAGCTGTAGATTCAGAAGCCCTAAGCCCCTACAACCCCTAACCCCGAAACCCGAAACCCGAAACCCTAAACCCCAAACCCCAAACCCTAAACCCTAAAGCCTAAACCCTAAACCCTACGTTGCTCTTCAGGTCCCATGCGGTCAACGCCTTGGACGGACGGATATTCGGCATCCCGCAGGGCGCTGCGCAGGTGGGAAGCCGCGGTTTAGGGTTTAGGGTTTAGGGTTTAGGGTTTAGGGTTTGGGGTTTGGGGTTTGGGGTTTAGGGTTCAGGCTTTAGGGTTTCGGGTTTAGGGTTTGGGGTTTAGGGTTTATTGTTTGGGGTTTCGGGTTTCGGTCTCGGCAATATAGGGATTGAGGGGTCTCCAGGGCAGCGGCCTCAGACAAAACGTGGGAGTCGTCGTTGTGAGATGTCCCAAAATAGGGGTGGCCCCAATATACCCCAAAAAGCTATCAGCCTTATCATCCTTAATAGTCAGTAACCCCCAAAAGGGTACCCCTATTGTCGGACCCCCCCCCCCCGCCCTAAACCCTAAACTTTCCCGAAACCCTATATAAAGCCTAAACTTTTCCTAAACCCCATATAAACCATAAACTTTTCCTAAACCCTATGTAAACCCTAAACCGTTGTGGCAGGTGTTGGTGATTGACCCCTTCACCGACAGCCAGGGCCCCAAACGTGCTTCTGCATCGGCCAGGCCAAGATAGAAGCCCTAAACCCTAAACCCTAAACCCTAAACCCTAAACCCTAAACCCTAAACCCTAAACCCTAAACCCTAAACCCTGTTGGAGCGCAGGCATCCCCCACAGCTTGGGCTAGAACTCCATCAGCACTCAGCGACTTTTCGACATGTGAGCCGCCCCTCCCTATCCCCCAAGGCCTAAACCCTAAACCCTAAACCCTAAACCCTAAACCCTAAACCCTAAACCCTAAACCTCGGTGGTTCGGAGCTGACAACAAAACACGTAGCCTTTTGGATCTCATGCTTGGGACAGGATGCCAGGACACCCCCACGAGCCAGCCCGAAACAACCCTAAGCCCCCATACGCCCGAGTGACTAACGCTTCAAACCCTATACGCCCTAGACAAAACCCTGTAACACCCATCAAACCCTATAAACCCTAAAGCCTCTTGAACCCTACAAAACCGAAACCCGAACCACATCCCCCTCAGGGCCCCAAAGCCTTTCCACCCGCAGCCTCAGCACCCAAAGTCCACGGAAACACTGAAGGCCCCAAACCCTAAGCCCCAAGCCCCTAGAACGCTAAAGCCCCTAGATCCTCTGAACCCTCAAGGCCCTGAATTGTAAACCTATGAACCCTTAACCCTTAAACCCTAAACCCTAAACCCTAAACCCTGAACCCTGAAGGGCACCGCAAGGTTCACGCGAAGCCCCGAAAACCGCAAAGCCCCCGAACCCGCCATGGGCGACTGGGACCCTTTTGCCGATCCGGCCGACGAGCCTCCCGAGGCCCGGTCCGTGCTGGGTTTAGGGTTTAGGGCTTAGGGCTTAGGGTTAAGGGTTTAGGGGTTTAGGGGTTTAGGGGCTTAGGGGTTGAGGAGTTTAGGGGTTGGGGGTTTTGGGTTGAGGGTTTAGGTTTTAGGGGCTTAGGGGTTTAGGGGTTTAGGGGTTTAGGGGGTTTAGGGGTTTAGGGGTTTAATGTTAGGGTCCCTTTAATAAACCCCCCCCCCCCCCCAAATCTTGTTTTGGTCCCCGGGGTTTGGAGGGTTGGAAAAAAAGACGGGGTGCCAACAATCAATTCTGGGGGTCTGGGGGTCTGGGGGTCTGGGGGTCTGGGGGTCTGGGGGTCTGGGGGGGGGGGGTCAGCTGTCAGGGTCTGCTTTGCTTTGTCTTGAAGGCTTCTCAGTAAAATTTTCAATTCCAGGCCGGAAAAATTTTAGAATTACCACCCTTTCTGATTATCACCGCACCCCCCTATATAGACTTGTTTACATACATCGGCCCGAAAACCTCCCGTAATGGAAAGTAGTCTTCGGCTGGACCCCTCTGGCCCGGCGAATTTTAGTATTACCACCCCATTTATAAATGGGACTCTCACATTAGGGGTTTAGGGGTTTAGTGGTTTAGGGGTTTAGGGGTTTAGGGGTTTAGGGGTTTAGGGGTTTAGGGGTTTAGGGGTTTAGGGGTTTAGGGGTTTGGGGGTTTAGGGGTTTAGGGGTTTAGGGGTTTAGGGGTTTAGGGGTTTAGGGTTGAGGGTTTAGGGCTTGAGGGTCTAAAGGGTTTAGGGGTTTAGGGTTTCGGCTTTCGGTGTTAGGGGTTTCTGGTTTAGGGCTTAGGGTTGGGGCCTTAGGATTCCGGCAGATTTGGATTCAATGAACAGCTGAGGATACGGGACCCTAAACCCTCAACCCTCAACCCTCAACCCTCAACCCTCAACCCTCAACCCTCAACCCTAAACCCTAAACCCTAAACCCTAAACCCTAAACCCTAAACCCTAAACCTAAACCCCTCAATCCGACAGGTACTGCCAACCAAGAAGGAGAAGGCCCGCCATGCCCTTTAGGGTCGAGGGGTTTAGGGCGTTAGGGCATGAAGTTAGGGTTCAGGGTTCAGGGTTTAGGATTTAGGGTTTAGGGTTTAGGCTGACTCCACTCCCCCTAAAATTAGACCCCCTACCCCAACCCCCTAATATTCCCATATACTCGAATACGTTTGTAGGGGGTAGATATGCCAAGGCTCTGAAGCCCTGATGCCAGTTGCATGTCTTGCGAGAGTTGCACTCAACATATTTGCAGGAACTCCATGTTCAGACTGTCGCTTTAGACGAAATGGCTTTCGGAGTCCGCAGCTTGCGGAAAGGGCACATGTGAAAAGCAACACACGACTAGAGCCCCCGCCCTCACACGATCATCTGTTCAGATGCCTGGCGCTGTAAAAGGTTCAGAAGACTTCCCGATTCCAAACACCCTAAACCCTTTACCCTAAACCCTAAACCCTAAACCCTAAACCCTAAATTTTATGGTGACTGCCGCCCGGAGGCTTGGAAGCCACCCGCAGCTCCTCGCGGCCGGCCGATACGGGCGGCGAAGCTTAAGGTTCAAGGTTCGCGTATCTTCGGCGACTTCTTGTTTGCAAGCCTAGGTGGGGGTTTCCGAAAGTAGGGGTGCCCACCCTCCCCCCCCCCCCCCCCCCCCCCCCCCCCCCCCCCCTTTTTTTTTGGGGGGGGGGGGGGGGGTCCCTGAAGGAGATTCTATACTGTTTGGGGTATACAAAAGGGTGCCCCTCTTTTGGGAAATGCCCAGGTAGGCCCTTGGGACATTTCGGCTATTTCCCTCGTTGGGTGTAAGAGGATTGTGTTCAGCAATACGTTTAAGACGGCTTTAAGCCTTGAAGAACGAATCGTGTTTTGCTAAGTCGTGTTGTCAGTAGCATCGGCCGTGTCGCGCATGTGCAACTTGATGCTTTTCTGTTGATTCGTCGTTGTGCGGTGCTCCAGGTTCTTGGGTGGTTCAAGCCAGATGGTTTTTGTCTCAGGTCTCAAGACAAGTGGTGCGAATACAACTCTACGGAGGCTTTTCAATGAACAAACCCTAAACCCTAAACCCTAAACCCTAAACCCTAAACCCTAAACCCTAAACCCTAAACCCTAAACCCTAAACCTTAGGACCCCATGGACTGCTCAGGTGGCCTGCCTCCATGGCACCTGCAGCAATGGCCACGTCACCCGGGTGCCCGCGCAAGGGGCAGGGGAACTTAGGGTTTAGGGTTTAGGGCTTAGGCGGAAAGAGAACCCTATGGTTGGGAAGTTCCTTTTTTGAACATGCGTAGAATCAACCATGGGAGGCCCATGCCATGGACGGCCCAAAACCTTACACCCCAAGCCCCTCCAGTCCAAACCCAAAACCCAAAACCCAAAACCCAAAACCCTAAACCCTAAACCCTAAACCCTAAACCCTAAACCCTAAACCCTAAACCCTAAACCCTGCACCCCACACACCGGAACCCTATGCCCTAAACCGCTAAAATCCCTGAAGCTCTGTTCATCCCCCAGGGTCCCTAAAGCCCTCCAGCGCCGAGTCCCCCCCAACCCCTGGACTCCCCAAACCC